CCTGGCCCCAGCCCCACCTGCCCACCCCACTCCCAGACGCTGCTCCCCACCCGTGGCCCCATCCCACCTGTTCAGCCAAGCACACAGTGCCTCCAAGGGTCCCAGGAACATCTCCATGGAGACCCACCCACCTGCCTGCTCCATCCAGCGCCCCCAGCAGTGGGTGTGGGGGAGACAGGCGGGGTGCCCGGGCAGCAGGACTGGGTCTGGTGGCAGCAGCAGAGATGCATGGCAGTGGCAGCCGGACAGAAGTGCCACCACCGGGCTGCCGGGAAGCAGAGTCCAGCTGCTGCACTGCCCCAGCCCAGTTACACACCCAGGGGTGGCGGGACCAGCTGCATGCACCACAATCCAAGATGCTCCCCACATTTGGGCCAGGCAAGGCTGACGGACACATTGTGGCCCAGATAAAAATACTTTGGCAGACCATATTTTGCCTACCCATGTTAGAACATCAGGCTGGAGGACTGAGAAGTGGGGACTTAGTTACTGCTTATGAAAGGCAGTCAAGTTGGCCCAAAATGTGGGGGTAGACAGTGAGTGAGCAGCTCTCCACATTCTTTTTTGACCCTCCCACCATAGACTTTTATAATCTTCTCCTCTGTCCTTCTTCCATACGCCTCTCCAGTACAGTATCTTCAAGTGTGCTTTTACATTCAGCTTTCTTTTTATTATTTACTGCCCAAGTACCACAGCATACATCCTGACTGAGTTTCCTGTTTTCATTCCCACTGAAACAATGGAAGATATCAACTATGCCATGAAAAGGCCCCAGATTCTCCCAAGATCATGGACAATTAAAAAACAAAACAAACAAAAGACACCTAAATAAACAAGATGGGGATAAAAATACAATTAGTTACTCTATTAATCACAATTCAGTAATTCATCTGGAGTAGTGGTTCTCAACCTGTATGCCATAGTGGGCCACACTTGCAGCTCTCAATGTGTTATGTGGGCCGTACAGGATGTCACATGAGCTGCAGCAGTGTGCTGATTGGGCCACATGCAGCCTGCGCGTCATGGGTTGAGAACTGCGGATCTGGACTAATAGCTTTCTGTGCAGTTGCACTAACAGATAAGCAACAAATTACTAGTGTTACTGTATAACATATTTAATCATTTTAGTATCAAAACCTACTACAAAAGCTTTAGGATCAATGTACTTAGGAGTCTTTTAATTGCTTCTCTCATATTGAACACTTTCAAACCATTAACCCGTGTCAAGTCTAAAGTTCGGCTTTTTGAAAAGCCAGTAACATCTACATGCGTCATAAAACAATGCAGCTCCAGAAAAACTGTTCCAGATTAATCAATACAGTGTTTATCGTTTTTCCCCATAACATATCTTCAAGAGACTGTTCAACAGAATTCGCACACAATTAACAACCTTCTCCCCAATCTTGCCTCTTCTCTCCCTCCTAATAGATCTTGTAGCCTCTAACACTTACTTTTGCTGGTCTTTCATTGTTTCAATAATGATTCGTAGCTCCTTAACTTGTGTTCTCAGCTCCTCCAAGGCCGCTTGCCCCTGACTTGAGAACTCAGTCTTTGGCTTTCCTTCAGTACTGAATAAGGATGGGGAATTTGACCTTTGGCCTGTTGTTCCCCCAGTAACTGAATGAAGTACAGTTGAAGGTGAGGAGGATAATGATGCTTGTGCACTAATTCCACTGGTTAAACTTCCTGGTTTGGGAGGCAATGACGTTTTATTGTCAGACACCTGTTAAAGAGAAACAATGAATGTCCATGATCAAAAGCTTCCGATTTCTGAAAGGCAAACACATCACCACTAAGTATTCTGCCTTGTAATCATACTGAAAGGTTTGGCCAGGACCCTGGCAGGCTTGTCCACATGTTGGATACAAAACCAGGTAGCCAAATTCACATTTATGAACATGCTCCACATCAGAAACTGTCAGTGATTCCAGAAGTTACCACTGGAAGGCTTTCTTGTCAAAGCTGCTACAAAAGGTAAGAAAAAAATGATAGTCCAGTCTGAGGCACTGAAAAGGGCAACACAAAAGTGCAATGAGTTAGGAGCTTTGATACATATTTTTAACTAAGTGTTAAAAATATTGCAGATAATTCTCTAAGAAAACGAAGCTTTACTCAGCACAGTGCTCACGAAGTACAGTTTTACTCAGCACTTTGCCATTATTACATGCTAGAAGATGCCTAAACCATCTGCTTTATTTTTGAGAGTACAGAATGTATGTTGCCCTATGAATTTTTGTAGTCAGATTACAATTGTGATTTTGCACTAACTGAAGGATTCTGTCTTCCTTCTTTTTACCCAATGAATATATATATGCCTCAAAAGTCCCTTAGTATGGCCCATCAGAAAAGAACATGGCATTGTTGGAAGTGTAATAATCTGTCAATGACAAAGTATTCAACTACTAACTTTTTGTCCTATGTCTCTGTCCACCTTGATATGATTAAGCTATGGATTCTTTGTTTAACCTACCTAAGTAGGTAAGTGACCCACACCACTGAAGTACCATGTTGCCTCATGATCATTCTATCTTTGTGACATTCCCAGGAGATAGGAAAGTTTTGTTCCATTTTACAAACTGGTCTACAAACTGTTTTTGTAACAAATGAACTCTTTCACATAAGGCTACAATTTTATACCAATACATATTTTGTATTAATATGTATTATAGTGGATACATTTATACAATCATAAAGGTAGCTTACCAGTATAGTTTATTCCTCTTTTTTAACTAATACAGATACAGTTGTACAGAAACTATTCTGTTTTTTACTGGCAAATCTTCTTAATGTACATGTACTTCACGCTAGCCCAAAAGAGCTTTTCCTTGTTTCACTTGTGGAACTAGCATAAGCTGTATGAACAAAAGAACTTTATTGGAAGTATAAACATTGTTTCCATTAGAAGGGTTTAGCATTATAGCTGTACCAGAATAGCTGCACACAGGGCAAACCTTCTCTAGTGTACACCAAACATAGGCCTTTTGTCTATGGTACAATAATCCTTCAGTACAGCTTGCTTTTTTTTCTCCAGCTTACTCTGAGATGCCTAGTTATCTACGGTGATAGCAACCATGTATAAATCTCTCAAAGAAATAATTAACAAATAAAGAAAATCCAGGTACCTGAAGTTAAGCTAGTAGAGGTAGAGTGATCTAACTTACTTGTGATATTGTAACAGTCTTTGCTTTCTTTGACACTTCAATCGTTTTGTGTGTAAGGGAGACATGTTCCTCCTTCTCATCTTCAGGACTTGGTGAGTCAAAGAAATCAGAACTTGAAAGGGAGGACTGGTCAAAAAATAAAAACAGATTGTTTCATACACTAAAGAACATTATTTACATGGCAAATAGTCAGTACAATAAAATAAAAAGTTATAACTCAACACAACTTTTACCTAAGACATGGAAAGGATTTCAAGATGTGGGCATACAGCCATTCCCAGAAAGAATTTTAGTTTCTTCAAGTCAGAAATTTTTTTTGAGGTAAGTTGGGTCAGCCACCCTGGTAGGACTGGTTTTCTAGTGCTATCAGTGTAAACAGGGAAGAAATTCATTGTGTCCTTTCCCTCACCTTTTTACACATACATTTCACCTTGTAAAGAGTCAGCACAACTTTGATCCAAGGGTTGTTTTTTTAAAAATTAATATAACTTTCCATTTTTCTCTAGTATTTCCTTTCTTTTTTCTAGCACATCAGTAAGTGCTATTATTGTTTGCAGTAGCCTGCTTTAACTTTGACTTCCTGGGATGCAAAATAGTATGAAAAGAAAGAAAAATTATGCTGGGAAAAAAACAACAACCAGAGTTTTTGCTCATTATAGAATCTTAAGCCAAAAACTGCATGAGCCAAGAATAACAGCTCTACAGTAGATGAGGCAAAGTACACAAGCAAGAACACACAAATAGTTGATAGATATCTAGACAACAAAATTTAGAAGTATAATCTGATATGTAGAGTAGCTGTACCTACAAGTGCATTACAACACCAACATAGGCTGGACCATCACACAGTGTGTGCAAGTTAATCATGAAAACAGCCAAGAGGCTCCCACAAAGACATTTCCCATATGTCTGTGCATGCTCCAAAAATTCATATACATTTACAGAGAGGAAGGAATAGTGATTTCTGTATATTTATTTGGTTTAATTTACTGTTTAATAGCAAATCAAATGCTGAAGAAATATCATTTGGTAGATAAACTTACAATGCGTAAGCTCCTTATGCCAGACATGCTGAAACTTCATTCCAGGAAATGTATAATGTATTTATGGATTCTATAATACCATGTTGAATGTGTATAATTTGAAAATTGGGGCGATTTCTGAAGACCTCCAGTGGAGGCAAAGAAACATCCATTTTGGAGAAATATTTCCAAAATACTTGATACTTAATGCAAACTGCTCAATTCCAAAGATTCTTATTAGGTATTTTTAAGTGCCCAGTCAGGATTGACAAGGATGACTTAGCAGCATGAAAAGAATGGGTGACAATCTTTTAAGATAGGCAAATATCTTAAGTGACGTTCAAAATGATGGCCAAATTGTAAGAATGGGCTCCCTGTGAGAGAGTGGTAAGGTAACCATAATTGAAAGGGTTGGATGACACAGAAATTATGAAAAATAAGATTACAGAAAATCATTTAAAAGAAAGGAAAGCAAAATCAACTTACCAATGTGAGCGACTGGGAGGGTGGTCGCCTGCCAGTGGCTTTTGGTCTGGTTGTAGTTGGATGACTGAGCTTCTCAGCAACAGGGACTACAGAGTCAAAGCCTTCCAGATCTTAAAAACAAAGGCAGAAAATATAGTCAAGTTGTATTTTTCTCTCCAGGGGAAATAACGAAGATTTATTTTTAAAAAAGGACATTATAAATCTCAAAGAAATCAACCCCCTCCCCTTTCCCCATTACATCTTGTTGTTTTTGGCAACACCTTCTTATCATTTATCTACTCTTTTATTTTAAAAAAAGTGAGGGCAACTGAAATCTAGACATGTTTACAATGCATGGCTGCACTTGTAAGGCAAAGAAAGAAGATGTACAGGAGCCATATAATAAGGCAAAGAAAACAGTTGTACAGGAGCCTTTTCTTTTGTCCAGGCCTGCTCAGACTAAACGATAAGATGGGCACTGCCATGTGAAACAGAAAATGCAGCTGCTACAGAGGCTAATAGTTTACTGAGGAATACAACACATTCTCCCACAATTCACGTAATCAATTCTAAATGTGCACCGCAGCATCTCATACCAATTGCTAATAGGATTCTAGGAACACTGTGACTGTAAGGGAGTCTCCTGGGTCAGTGAGTCCTGTGCTCTCTTATTGCAACTACATTATTAAATCCCTTTCTTTGACAAGAGAAATACTGATAATAGGCTAGGTATAAGAATTAGTGGGCGGGAGTGAAACCCTAATAATGGCATATTAAAATTGCACAGGGTTCAGGGAAAGTAGATTTTGTGGATGGGGGCCTTGACTGGCTTTGTGAAACAGACTGCTGAGGAGTTTTCTGAATCTGGCCATATGTCAGTACATTTACTGAAAGAGCAACGTGACATCTGAAGGAGTATTACAAGCCCTGAATGCATCTTTGAAATTAGATGAGTGGCTTTAAACCATCTAATTTTATGGGTTATATTGTTTTAAGTCACCTCAACTTAAAATACCCTATTGCACTGCTAAATAGAAATAAAGGCTGCTGACAGACATGAACCTTCCCCCCACAGCACTTTCCTGGAAGAGGAAGCATGTCAGTTTGACCTGGCTCTCTAGCATCTGTATAGATTGGGCACTTCTGTGGGACTTTTTGACGCTTACCTACACCTGATCCAATCAGCTATTGTATAAAAGCGCTAAAAAGCCCTGCTGAATCTCACAATCTATACAGACATTGGGCGAGCCAGGTCAAATTAATGCAATGCATCTTCTGGGCATGCTCTGTGCTTGGCATGGGGGCACGCCGAGCTTAAAGCACTGCTTTGTTTTGTTTTTTCCACATCTGCAAGCAGCCTAATGTGCAATGCAAATGCATATGTGAGCGCTCACATCCGACAACTTTATCATGCTAAGGGAACACACAATACAAGAATAAGCTAGGTATAAGAAGGTATTAGCTGTGAACCAAATTCGACATACATGTTTTATCTTATGAACAGAGTAATGTTTTATGACACAACTTAAATTAATAATTGTATATGCCAGTCATTTTCAGACCTGTTAAAAGGAAGAATTAATCTTCTGCAGATTAAGGTGTTGACATACTCCAAAAGTACTCTTAAAATGTTAAGTAACAGTAAAACAGACTTACTACACGAACAAACTGTTGCCTATTACAGTAGGACAGCCAAAGCAATTTGGTGGCAGATAGTTAAATGGGATGTAGAAATTCAACTGCGTATATCCATGACAGTAATATGTGCAACTACCAGGAAAGGAAGAGAGGTCTTTTTCATAGCACTGTTACATTCACAGGTTACTTGTCTCATAGTTTTATTACATTCTAGGAACAGTTCTTTCCACAGACAATCAGTGACCCCACCATGATCTACTGAGTGTGGTTCTTGCTTTCCACTGGTTAGGTCTGGAAGCCAATACCTAACCTTTGTCACTGTGGCCTGTTAATGAGGAACTGACAGTCTGAGGCTGTAAGTTCAACTTTGCAAAGGCCACATGATGCCACAGTAGCCAAGTCTGGATTGAGCTTTTCAAATTCAATAAAGCAACATGCAAACGTGTTACATAAAACTGTCCGTAGCCCTCTAGTGCAGCTTTTTTGGTTTGGATGTAACTAATTTTCTATGGAAAATGAAGTCCAAACAGGTATCCGAATATGTGATTTTCAGTTTTTCAGGTGAGATGAAGACGACATGAGGAGGGGGATGTGGCTTGCATTGTTCAAACTAGAATTGATGACGCTTGCCTTCACTGCTACCATATATTACTGCTTTAAGTTACACACGGCAGAAAATGGTAAGTTCTACTCCCCCCTTTTTTACTCCACTGACCCAACAATGCAACGTATGCTAAGACAGCTTCAGTGTAATGGCCGTCTTTCCCTATCTCATGACTTCTATACAAAGCTCCTCTCTCCTTCCTCTGTTCTTATGAAAGATAATTAATTCCTTCAGGTTACTGTATTACCATGGAATCCAGCCAAAGAAAAAAAAGAATATAAAGTTAAAGTGTCCATTAGGTTTATAAAATAATGAGATTTGATGACATGAGCTCACTCCAATGCACATTTAGTGTAGTATTTCTGCTCATTAATATTGTCATCAGTCATTAACCGATGGACTTATATACTCCTATTTTGTTCATTTGACTGTGAAGGCATTCAGATCAAGCACAGCAACTAGATTAATGTGCATGTATCACTATGGCTATATCTACACTGACAATTAAATTTGACCTTGTGGTGGCCCTAAGGCCCACTGACCATCCACACTGAAAACCTCTTAGGAAAAAGCTCCCGTCGTGGGGGGCCCCCACGCTGTGCAGACACCAGCTGAGGGGGGTGGGCTTTGGCTGGGGCAGAGGGGCTCTGTTCCCCCCCCTTGACCTGCCATGGTTACCAGCTCCGGAAGCCTAGGGCTTGGCGCAGGGGAGAGTCTGCGGTGACAGCAGCAGGTTGGGTGGAGTGCCCCCACCTTCTGGCCTGGCTAGTGCAGGTATTTGTCTGCTTCCTCCTGCCCACAAGGGCAAACGTGTTACATTTGCTTACAATTCAATCTTTGCAGCTTAGAGAAACCTGCAAAGGTTGGATCGATTCTGCCTTTGGTTTTTTGACTGTCTGTACTTAGCCCACAAGTCCAACATCAACAATCCCACAAATGTATGTTCCTGATTTCCTACTGTTCTCTGTCCCATTTCCTGCTTCAGCTGCTTAAACATTGAGACAAGCCCAAAATGAGAGACAATGATCCACAGACTGCTTCACAAAAAAAGCAATACAGCATAGAGGATTGTGGTATGAACTACAAAGTATTATGTAGCTAGTGAGAGGTGACTCATATGGCTCAGTCTACTTGACATTTCAAACTGACTTTGAAGTTAGCAGCATAATCTATGATGGTTAAACTGTGGATGTCTATACCCTGAGAGCTATGGTTACCTGAAAGTAAAATTTGGCCCATGTATACTGTGATAGTGTAAGAGCCTTTTTCCAAAGTGAAACCTGACCTCTTTGCATATTCACTTAACGTGAAATAACAGGCAGAATTTAGCAACACTACAGTTTTTTCAATTTCTGAATTTACACATGAAAGCAAGAAAAATATATTAAAGCAGCTTTATTTATATTAAATTTAAATGGGGAAAAAGAAAAAGTTTCACTTATATCTGTTGCCATACTGGTAAGATTGCAACCATTCAACTGACACTATAACTGAAATCCTGTTTATCTATAACTCAGTGTCTAAAAAAAAAAAAAAAAAGAGGAACCCTCATTTGTACAGCGCCAAAGTAGTTAACTGATTTCTAAATCTGTCTTCTCCTTTTATTTTTTTGTTCTCTTTATTTAGATGTCTGTCTCTCCCAAGTCCCCTTCAGCTTCCAAGATGAATGGTGCCTTATATAGTCAACAGCAAAGAACTATTCATAAAAGGAAGCGAATTATATTCTTATTGAATAAATTAGTACAAGAAAAATTAAGATTCCAGTTGCTCAAACAAGAACCCTGCCTCAATGGAGAATTAGTAACGGTTTGGTTTATACTGGTAATTTTTCTGATTATTTTTGCTAATAAAATATGATGCTGTAAGAGTGAACCACACATACCTGTAGATGGGGCAGGCACAGCATTAAAATGAGGCAGGTGATTATATAGTAGAACTTACTTATAACTAGGGAATTGTAGGATAATTTGGGGTTTTATCTCTGGGTATTAAAAGCAATATAGGCCCCTGATCTCCTGTTCTGCCCTTCAGAAAACAAAAAAGTGACCTACTGTATTCAAATCTTTACCAGTTTGTGCTGTTGGCAATTTTAAACTGCCATTATTATTAGCTCAGTGCACAGGATGGTAATGAATGAAAGTCAGAGACAGGGGAGAAAAGGATCAGAGTAAGGTAGTACTAATATACCATCGTCTTTTTTAAAACGTCTGGCTTACTGAGTAAGTGGAGCTTGACAAAATGAAAAGTACAACTGTGCTAGAAACCTTCCATGGTCTTATGAACAGGAAGATGATTCTGTTTTCCATTTCAAAGTTTTTTAAGTGTTCAAGTAAAAAAGATGTTATCAGCTTTAAAATAAAAAACAGATGCAGATGAGGGAGAAGAAAACACATGTACAACCATTTGGGATACCAGCCTGGGAGTGATGCTTTTTTCCACAAACATGCAGACAGACCACTAAACTATTTTTCAATTACCGATTTAGCAAAAAGTAAGTTTTTGATTTTGTAGGGTTTTTCATTTTTTCTTTTGGCCCCTGGACAAAGCCATTTGGTGCTTTGAGGAAAAAACATACTAGAATCAGTATTTTGAACATGTTAACAAGCTGTTTTTCATTTAAAAAAAAGCTATGCTAGTTTCAGAATAAATTAGATAAAAGATCTGTTCAATTAATTAAAAAAGTATAATGCCATAGATGCTGATTTAGCATGTTTCGCTCCATAATCATAAGGAATCTCTGGAGGTCATTAATGTCAACCCTCTATTTAAGTAAGGATCATCTCTTTGTCAAGAGTAAGCCATCCCAAACAAATGTCTAATTTGCAATAAGAAATTTCCAGTGATGGAGACTCCTGCACCATTTCTATGTAATCTATTCAGTGTTTAACC